GGCCCATGGCGCGGCGGTGGCCACGGGGGCGGCGGGGTCGCGCCGTTGGCTTCCCCGGCCAAACTGGCTCCGAGGTCCAGGTCGCTTCGGAATCGCTCCCGTGTTGGGTGTCTGGGAGTTGTCCGGAACTTTGTCATTTGAAACGAGCTTGAAAGAGAAGGGTGGCAGGGCAGAGGGCTTGTAGGAGAGCCACAAGTGCTGGGGAAAGGGCTTCTGAGGGACCGTGGCATTAAAGGGTAAACCGTGACATTTGCTGCCAGCAAGGGAAGTGCCCCTAATGCGAGCAGTTGCACGAGTATTAAAATACATTTAATACACTGAAATAGATTCAGTGTTGTAGCACTGAGCCCACATGTTGTGTGCCAAATTCAGTTCTGCTGTCTCTCAGGGAAAACATTGCTGCCAAATATTGAGAAATTATTTTACCAGACAAAGTTTAACTTTATACCTATCAAGGCCTGCGTGATTAAAGTGTGCAGAGAAGATATCCTAACCTTGAGAACAGATACATCCTGGCAGAATTGCTCAAAGAAGACGGATTAAGAAACAACAACTTGGCCAGATAACAGAGCTGGGAAACATCCAAGGAGAAGAAATTGTCCTCAAAAGACTCGTGACTGTAAAAGGGGAAAAGAAGTAGGGGGCTACCTCCCCAAATGACCACTGACAGCCCCCCCAAACCCCTGCACATGCATAGTGTAGTTTTGCAATGCCAGCATTATATAAATGTAGTAGATACATGGAAAGGTGGAGACTTCTTGGGAAATGTATGAATATTCATGTCTTTATATAAAGGATGAACTTTTAACATATGCATGTCAGGTGGAGAGAATGCCTGCTTCTTAATGCTACATTGGTGTTAGAAGGTTTATTCCTTATTTTGGTGACACGTTGGGACTAACACGTGTGTTCGAAAGCTTAGTGTTGGCAATACTTCCTAATGCAAATTTTCTATACCCACTAAGTCGCTAGTAGAGAAAATTATGGCCAACATCCCAGACGCATTGTGTCATCATAGTATTTAGCATTTATTTTCAGTTCCTTCTTTTTATTCTTGCTATCTGGTCACATCTGTACCCTGGTATATAGAAAAGTTGTTCAGGTAGTTATCAACTGGAAAGAAACACAAAAAAAACAGCAGAGAAACCACCATAGGAGAAAGAATGTATTTGTGTCTTCTGTTTTCTTACAATATTTATATGTAAAGAAGCTAAATAAGTAAAAGTTACAAGTCAAAGTAGAGAGAGAAGGAACTTAAATACAGTAACCATGTTTGTACTATTGCTGTAACCTGTATTCTGAGTCATTTTGAGATTACAGTCATACTGAACGATCCATTTCTGACAATATTCTTCACTGTGATTGCTCTAGAGCGGTTCAGTTACAGCAAAGGATAGCATGTGGATAACAACAATGAACAGGAAAATTGTAAACATTAAGTTTACTAGAATCAAAAGGCTTCACAGAATTTTGGCAGGACAAAGGACCGAGTCCTGTAGCTAACGTGAGTGAGGAGGGAGAGAGTGGCAGCAGGTCACTGACTGAAAAGAAAGAGGTGAGGGACAGATGTTATAGCAGTGAAAGCCTGTGGTGATTGTAAGAATTGATGGTCATAGTTAGAATTTTAAATCTGTATTTACATACAGATGTAAATGTATTTACATTTAAATGCTTTCATTTAAAAAAACTCTGAACATCCATATCCCATACTGAAATTTGAAGTGGTGCACAAGGGAGTTTTACAAGCATAGTCCAACTACAGACAAAAAGGCATACAAATAACATTTTTGTTTCGCAAATCTAGTTAATGTTTTGGGATATCTCATGCGTGGGATTGAGTTCCTATTGAACCATCTGTTGCACTACCTCACTCTGCCTATTTGACACATTAAACACAGTAAACCGTAGGTTGATAGCCAACATGTGGTCTGCACATACCACAGACCAGGATGACAAGGGACTCTACAGTGCCAACCTTAATTTCTTCCTACTGGCAGCATACTGGAACCTAGAACAGTCTCAGATTGATCCTACTCCTGATGTTTCTTGTCCTCATGATGTATGTCTTTGTATATTGCTAAAGAGAACAAATGCAGTCAAGAAACTCAGTAAAGAATGGGGAGAAAATTAGAACAAAAGAGAGACTGTGCATGCGGTACTGAATTATGCAGTTCTCTGCACTCATAAAACCCTGCATGTCTGCTTCATTTGTTGAACTAGTACTCAGCTAAGACTGGATCAAATACAAGGGTGTGTGAGTGTTTCCATCTGCAAGTAATGAGATCACTGGCCCAGAAGTCTTGCCAGCACTCTAGAATAAAAATTACTGCTGCACTGGAGTGTTTTTATTTACTGATTTTCTGCAATTAAAAAAGAAAGTGTGATGTTTAACTGCTTTATTAACCTGCTGTTAGTGGAGATCTGTGCAGCTGCTGATTGAATCCTGATTAGACTACAGTCTGTCTCTATGAAGAGAGTTTAAGGAATCGTGATACTGCCTTGGAATGGAGGAAAAGTGATAGAGATGAAGGGGAATCAAATGTAGTACTTTGCTTGACATTTTACAGACTTTGAATATCTGGTATGTTTGTAATTGCAACCAGGAACTTACTTATTTAAATATATAAAGTTTTCCCTTCCTGAGCAACATGATTGTATGTGCCCCTCTAGTTTTCATGGAATAGCATAAATAAATAAATATTGCATAAATGCAATAACTACTATAAATGCAATAGCACAAATTCTTAGACTAGACTTTTGACTACCTTGAATGAGCTTGGTGTTGGATTTTTTTCCCCCCCCTCTGTTTCCTACACAGGTAGGAACTATCAGATAGGCTTATCTTTGTGTGACATGTCTGATGTGTCTTGATGAGATCCTGCTCTCACTCCAGAAGGCCCACTCAGACGTGGAAATGAAGAAAACAGCCCTTTAACAGGGGGCTGGTCAAAGCACATAGTTACATTTCCCACATCAGGGCCAGCATCAGTTGTGTGAGTACTGCAGTTCCACTGCAAAGATTTCAAGTTACAAATGAAAGAAATTGTCTGGAGTAAAATGATGAACAATTGACAGGTTTTGAGTTTGAAATAAGCAATAAAGCTTCTTTTTCTTGCTAGTTAACCTAAAAGTATGCTTGCTTAAATTAAAACAAAATTTTCAGTGAGAAATATATCTAGACTGATATCTACCAGGTAATAGTTTATTTGCCATTTCGAAGTCTGTATAGTCCTTTCAATATTTTGACTCCATTATACAGATGACTCAGTCAGGAGGGCAGAAAAGCAATGTTTCCAGACAGTAGAGAGCAAGGCTTAAATTCAATGCATTTTGAAAAGAGCACATCTGAATAACAATTTAAGAATATTGTGTGTGCACTGAGAAATGAATAGAAATAATTTGGCCATGATGACAGCATAAGATGTTTTAAAGCTGAAAATATCGATTAAATTCCTCTTTACTGTTTCTTTTTTCACTCCATGATTCTTTCTGCATTTGACATGCTCCAGAAGTTTAAATTCAATTGCAATTTGAATTCTGTTTGGATCAGGATCGCTTCTCTCAAGAATATGTTCTTACATCAATTCTGACATTTCTTTTCCCTCAAACTGCTGTGTTCATGGGAAGTACAATAATCAGGGTAGACAGTATAATATATCCATAGCATTCAAAATATCATGTGCAATTCAATTAAATCTACTTTTGACTATTATCTGTAGGTTTCATTAAAAATTGTCATAAGGTGAACCTCAGAGTCAGAAGCACTGGAGCCAAGGAACTTGCACTGAAGGAATCCAGAGCTACAGAATTATTGCGCAGATCAGATTTTCCTCTTTGATTTCTTAATCTGAAAGGGTGGATACCTTGGAGCTGAAGAGGCAGCATGATATGCATCAACATTGTTTGTCAGAAATGTCTTCAGCCTGATTATCTATGACCCACCTTCATTTATATCTCATAACTTCTATTTTATACAATGAGTCAAAGGTTTTGTTGGTTTCAATAGAGCTATCTTGACTTAAGCTGGCTAAAAATACTGGTCTTTAAGATCAACAGTTTCTCTTGGAAGGAAGTAGGCAGATGATAATACTTTGGTGAGTTATTCCTTTAAAGAATACTGTAGTAGTGCAGTTTTATTTCCCATAGATACCAGATGAAACTGGGAAGTAGCACTGTGCTGTGGTTAGTTACAAGACTTACAGTAATAAATACAATCTTTTCACAAGTAGCTTGTGTATCTGGAGAATTCACCAAGACTAGAAATTACCAAATCTCTCATGTATGTTTTCCATTTCTTCAAGCAGTTTTGTAATAGTAGCGAAATACATCTCAAATAGACCTGGAAATAGAAAGTGTGGCAGAAACATTTTCTTTCCTTTCCAACTGTTTTGTATGATGTAATAAAAAAGAAGATCTATACAGAGTATAGCCCTGTTGATCCCTAATGGAAAATTAAGATAGGTGCCCAAGATAAGTGTGTTGAACTACCTCTAGAACTGCTTCTTTCTCAACACTGACTGTAGAGAGGAAATGGGATCACTAGGTCTGATGCAGACAACTAACCTTTATGCAGCCCAGAACAGGAGGCCCAGAACTGTGTGAGTACTCGATGTGAGGCCGCACCAGCGCTGAACACAGCGGGACAGTCGCCTCTTTTGCCGGGCTGGTTATGCTGTTTGATGCACCCCGGGATGCAGTTTGCCCTCTTGCTGCCAGGGCACACTGCTGGCTCCTACTGAGCCTGCTGCCGACCAGCACCCCCAGATCAGATCCCTTTCTGCAGGGCGGCTCTCCAGCCACTCCTCTCCCAGTTTATAATTGTGCCCAGCATTACTCCATGGTAGCTTACAGAGCTCAAACTTTGGTCCAGGCCACAGAGCGCCCTAGGGCCTTGCTGCCCTGATCACGCAGACCTATGGATCATGATCTACAAATCATGATCAATGCAGGCTTTCCTTTGCACAAAAACTACAGAAAGGCGTGAGCCTGGGGCACCCTTTGGTCTCCTCTAGATGTGAAGTTGATGTGTCAGCAGGGAATGTACCTAGGCCTGGAAAACCTGCTTTTTGGAAGTAGATTGTTGTCTGTCTTTCCCTTACTAAATGAAGAGGTTTTCCTCATCTGGAAATCAGGAAGATCGAGGGAGGGGAGCAGAAAATGAGGCTTCATTAACTCCGTTCTAACAGAACTACTTTTCTCCTGCCCCTACTTGTCTGTTACATAAGTGCATTTTTCCCTCCAGTGGTTCTTTGCTTATGGGTGCAACCTGTGACTAAATCAAGCTGTGCCCAGTAAAGAACAGCCTTGTGGACCTCTAATGGAAACTCAGGTGTGCTTGGAAGCAGCACGAGTTGCTCAGTAAGTCACCTGCTTATTAATCAACTGATACATAACCTGAATTAAGACAATGTTGTTCTCATATCCAGATAATAGATTTTTTTAAGATGGAAGCATTAGCCTGAGCAGATTCCAAGGGGAATAATGTCACTGTGACTAGCTGCACTTCACCTAATGGTTTTCTCTTTGGAGGAAATAAGATATAAGTGGCGTCAAGAAAAGAGGTTGTGGAATAATCATATACTTCTATTTTGCACCTAAGGAGTTTATTTTCAATAATCATAAAGACTGCTTTCAGATGTTTCAGGGAATACGTTTAATCTCTTCCTTTAAGGCTACAAAGAGGCCTTTGAGCTACAGACCTGGGAGTTTGCTCCTGCAGTACCATTTAATTTGCCATGTTTAGCAGTTTGCTGCTTTTGCACAGGCTCCATAAAATTCACAAATTTTCCACTTAGGGACTAGTGGAAACAGAGATACTAGTTACAGGATGTAGGCTTGGTAGAACATTTGTATTATCTGGATTTGTAAGTGGTTCCCCAAGAAATATGCTGAGCAACATTCTCTGTGATGCGTAAGAATGATACTAGCTACCAGAGTTAATTGCTGTCACTTACTAAAAGTCTTTGTGGAGCTCTGCTTTATTAACTGTATTTATCTGACAGTGATACTGAGTGTGTTCCTCCCTTCTTACTGATCTGTAGTTTACCAAAATTTAAGTAATCTAAACGGGGATCATAAATTATGTCAAAGAAGTTAAAGCAGATGACCATTTGTAACAGAGTGAAAGAAGTCATGGAAGCTCCAAATCAACAGTACGGATCACCACAGTCTACCTTCCAGAATGCTAAAGGGTGTCTAACACGCCTATTTTAGTTCTTGTTAAAAACTAGCAGCTGATTCACCAGCCACATTGTTCTCCTTCAAAGAACAATTTCCAGGAAGGCAGAAAAGCAAACGCCCGAGGCACTCACTGCTTCAACCATCTCTTATCTAATCTATGCCTGTGTTTGTCAGCAGGCTTAGATCCTCACACAAGCCTGCTCCAGTGCCTTGTCTCCATAGCTTATGCTCTGTTATGGATATACTGAAAACATGGAAAAATGCAGTCTTCTTTGGCCTTTACAATACAGAAGAGGCATAAAAGAGTTAGTTATATTTCAAATTGCTACTTACCTTCTTAGAAAACCTTTTTGCCTACACATTGTCAATATGAGAGTGTATGAGCCACCGACACACTGTCTCTCTCAAATGTTAAATGTTTCTCTAATCACCTAGTGCTGTCTGCATTCATTTTGAGTATGCTTTAGAAACAATGTCTTTCTGCAGTTAAGTGTATATAGACACAACATTCATGTAATGCACTAATGCTGTGAAATCTCCCTTGGCAGTCTTGCTACTCACCAGAGGTTTGTCAGTGCTAAGGTAGGGATGTATAAGAGAATGAAGCCAAGGAGGAGTGTTACTTGTAGTACAATCCCGAATCCAAACACAGCCCTACCGATGTTTGTGAGGCTTTTGTCAAAGCAAGACCAAGTAGCCTAGTGGCAAGACCAAGGGCCTAGTGGCAATTTTTGCTTCTTTTTTTTCAAAATTCACCACATATGTATCATCCAAAAGCATTTTCCTCAGTTCATATACAAAGATACAGGTATGTGTATTTGCAGCAACAGTTTGCAGCTACAGCAACTGCATGTTGACAAGTGGGTACATGCATGGAGGAATATTACCTGTAATGCTCATAAACTCCTGCAGGTTCAGTATGTTTCTGGAGGTACTAGAATGCTAACCCCTTGGTCTGCATGTAAGATCCCAACATTTTTTTTTGTTGGAGGTGTGTGTAAATGTTTTAATTTTTAGAAGGAATTGCCATTTACAAAAAACACACAGAAGTAATTATTTTTAATATTTTGCATAACTATCTGTAGAAACTTAATAGGAACCTGGTTCATAATTTACAATGCAAAGCCTGAAAAAAGATATGGAAGAGGTGCATTTCTGAAATGAGCTGAATCAGTTTATAGTGATTAATATACCCATACATTGCCTATTTGATCTTTAAGAAAATATTGAAAAGGACAGGCTCTACATCCAATTATCACAGCCTAGAGACAATTAATTGGGAACCCATTGTTCTGTGCTTCTTACCAAAAATAATGTGAAGTGATACATAACGAGAAGCAGAATGGGATCCTGTCATTCAGCAACATGTAGTTGTGAGCGGCTCTGTATCAGTACCAAGTGAGAACACCAGGAAAAGAGATCATACTGTGCTGGGTCATGGAGGCAAAACTAAAAAAGCATTGTAGAAGACTGGACTGCATTTGACTCTTGCATTTACCTCTACTTGGTTGACTCACTGTGGAAAAAAAACCCAGTAGCCTGCCTCACCTTTCTCTACCTTTCTTTCATGCCTCAGTGCCTTCTTATTAGAAATTGCTGTATTTCCTCCATTCTTCATGTTCAGATCCTTCACCTCCTTTCTGTATTGCAAAGGTCTGCACCTTTTTTTTTTATTTGCCAACTCACAAGGTCTTTTCAGTTTGCCATCTCCAGTTGTTCCAGTCCTTTTCTCTGCCAGCATACCTTGGAATGATTCTGAGCGGAGAGAATTTATTTTCTCAGCAAAGAAGAGATAATAGATAGCTTCAAATACATAGAATAGTGTGTGCACTCAAACAGATGTATCCTATCACCTTTTCTACAGTGAAGTCTCAGATAAATTCGTAGACTTCCCTCAGAAAACCCCCAAACCCAAAAAAACCAGAATTAGGGCATCCATCTTTGCCATTAAACCTCAAAACCCTTTGCATTACCAGTTTTGCAGACTTTATTGATTATATTAACTATTCTGAGCATACCTTTGGTGTGGCTGTGGTGCTTGTGACAATTTTTTTTTATCTCTAAAACATGTCAGTATAGAGAACAAAATGCATGCTAAGCTTCTAGTATACCAGTATACATATTTTTTACTTTTAGTGACCCTTTGTTGTGAAATGATACATCCAGGTGCAGACGAAGCCTTTGTGCCACATAGCTGCAGGGCTCAGCCTGGCCTCCAGAGACCTCTGGGACAGAGGGAGCCCCAGCTGAAGTCACGTGCAAAGGTCATTTCAGTTTTGTTTTTGAAGGTGCAGAGGCAGTAAAAACTCTCTCTCCCTTTCTTTACAGGTAAATCTTCAAACCAGTTCTGTAGTGATTACTACCAGTTTAAAATATTGTGATTTTTTTTTTAACCTCACAATAATATAAGTTTACCTATGATCAACAGAGAACTTGGAGCCTGTTACGGTTATTTTGTTCCTTATGCATGTGGCCCTCACCCCTGTGCTGAAGAAGACAAACAGGTACATTTTCTATCATATTCCCTAGCAGCAGGTGCTTCTGTGTTGCTCTGAACACCATCACTTTGAGTTAAAATCCTTTGGAAAGGTGTGTGTTTTGCCGTGATGAAGTCCAGAATAACAGTTCTAACCTGTGACTTAACATTTTTCCTCTGCACCCCCTGTATGTTGTTGAGGAAATTTTTTAAACCAGTTTAGGATCATCGAGTTCCTCCAGACCCTCCAAGTCTGCCCAGAACCTGAGCTGTGCCAATGCAACTTTCTTCCAGTTTGGGAATTATATAGAGCGCTCTCTCCATATATCTAGTACTCTCCATATGATCTAGTACTGTTAACAGCTTGATTCAATCATTAACAAGAAATTGCAAAAAGACAAGCAAGCGAACTGCTGCAGATGACAACAAACAGTTTGACAGGCACTGGGAAAGGAACAGCTGTGCCCTTGTATTTAAGGTGAGAGCCTGAGGAAAAGGAAAGGACTTGAGTCCTTCTGAGGCAGGTGAGCAGGACCTGGGGGGTTGTTGCTGTTGATTTATTTAACTTGGTGCTGGGCCTCACTGCAGCTGAGGTGAGCTATTCCTAGACTTACTCTGCATATGCACGTTATTTTTATGAGAAAAGGGATTTTGAATGCTTGAAAATATTCTTTTCCCCAGCATTTCTGGTAATGCAAACAGTGTACTAGCAGGTGAAGGTCTGTGTGTTGGGGAAATCTAGGGAAGTGTGAACTATACAAGGACTGGGATAAAAGCTTGTTTTAAGCCATTAGCTCAAGTAAAAGGACCTTTTAACTAAAAGGTTAAAAGAAACTAAAAAATCTGTTAATCATGTTCTGCAGGAAAACTGTAGATTAGATTCCCAGGGATCTGATTCCAGCTCACAGACTTTTACAGGACTTTAAGCCCTGAAAGAAGAGAGGAAGACAGATGTTTGCTTTTTCTGTACAGGCTTCTTGGTATGGACCAGCTCAGTGGGCAGTGGAGGTCGTTTCTAAAAAGCCAGCAGGATTCCCTCATAGCAAGAAAAGAAAATATTTTCCTGCATTATTTGGTGAAATTTCGCTCTCCTTTTTTTAGAGTAGGTGGATGATGGGAGGATGTTTCCTTACTGCACCCTGCCCTCTCAGTATTACTGACTGCTCCCATACGCATTCTCAGGACAGGTGTTATAGACAGATTCTTGCAGATCCTTCTTATGCTCTCCCTTGTCTGCCTCTCACCCTCTGCATTTCTGCAGATGATTTAATGATAGAGGCAGGACAGACAACAGGGCAGCCTGACTCATTTTCAAATATATCTATTTACATACCCCTTATCTGACTTATACTGACATATTTTTTTTTATTCATGGAAATGAAAAGTATCCTTTTTTTATTCTGTTCTTCATGGACTTTACTCACTAATTTTATATCTGTCCAAGGAAGTTACACTCAAGATTATGATCTTTCTAGAGATGTAATGACTTCAAACCAGAAAGCACTGTCAGCATCTTGCTGAATTCCAGCTTTCCAAAAAATAGAGGAGTTAATGAGGGCTTAAAAATATCTTAGCTCCCTTGAAGAGAATGGAGACTTGAAAACTAAAGAGAATATATTGAGTCACTCCTTAATGCACTCACTGGTACCTATCTATAATGCTATCAAATTAACTCAGCCTGGAGCACAGCTAGAGATAGAGCTTGGTAGCACTCAATTTTTATCAGCCTGCTTATTTTAGACAAGCCCAGTGCTGGTCTGAGTTGACATAGCCTCTAGTTTCTGTAACCATGTGGATAACGGAAAGATATTTCAAACAGGTTGATGAGATGCAGATGTTCTATCAAATTTTTGTTAGAATCTTCTTACATTTCAGAGGTGGAAAAAAGGGGAGGCCTTGGTGGGAAAAAGATTATTTCAAATAATTTGCTGGGATCCAGTGATTCTCTGGGATCAGATAGGATGATCAGTGTTTGTGCTTTCTGGGGAAATGAAAGAGGGCCAGTAACCTACCATTTCCCTTGCCATGTTATTCTGGGAGAATCTTCTCTTTTGGAAACACTGCATCAGTTATATCCAGCCACACTAAGTGCCCTGTTCATTTTTGTTTCTCATGTAAGTACTCTTCCTCTTTGTGCTACATGGAATAAAATTAAAATAGGTTAATCAGTAACTAATTGTTCCTCAGCTGAACAGTCTCTCATGTGTCCTCAGCTGTAAGTAACCTAAAATCTGTCTTTTGCTTTTATGTAGGTACTGATATATCCATATTGCTGAGTCTTCCAGCAGCAAATGAAGAATATGTATCTGTTCCTCCTTTCCATTTTATATTTGCTTTTGAAAGCCACTGGCACCAAAGAGGTTATATTTGGTCATAATAATTTCACAGAATATAAAGTGGGCAACATGAACCTGATTCTCTCTGTCCCACACGGTGGGTCAATGGAACCCAAGGACATTCCTGATCGAGAGGCTGGCTGCTGGGATGCAAAGATATCCTCTTGTATTTTCTCTCATGAGTGTCCTCTTGGAAGCATTCAAAATTATAAAAAATGCAAAGTGTCTACCAACCAAGACAGGTATACTATAGAGGTGGCTCAGGCTCTTGCAGAAGAAATCAACAAAATTACTGATGGCTTCTTCCCACACATCATTATAAACCACCTACAGAGGTTCAAGATGGATGCTAACAGGGAAAAGGAAGAAGCCTCCTTTGGAATTGCCCAAGCAGAACAGGCCTGGGAGGAATATATGGGATTTTTGACCACTGCAAAATCGCAGATGACAGGGGGCCTGATTCTGGATATCCATGGACAAGCACATCCTGAACAGTGGATAGAACTAGGTTACACACTTTCAAAAGCTACCCTTAACTCAGGCGTCTTTTCTGCATCATGTTCCTCAATTAGCCATCTGGCCAGTCAGCTAGTCAACGTGTCTTCTGAGTCTTTAGTTGCTGGGAACAGAAGTTTAGGTAAATACATTGAAGAACAAAATAACAGTTATGTTTGTGTGCCTTCTCCATCCAATCCTAGCCCAAATAATGGGAACTATTACAGTGGTGGATACATAACAAAGACTTTTGGTTCCCGTACTTCTGGCACTGTTGATGCCATTCAGCTTGAATTACCCCAGTGGGTGAGGGCAGCTGAAGAACGTCCCAGATTTTGCAAAGTGCTAGCAAGGGCTATAATGAAATTCTGGCAAACTAACTACTGCAGCCAGTACAACCATAAATTTCTGCCATGCTGAAAGAGACTGTCTTGTTATGATACCTCTCCATACTACAGTAATCATCTGGAACAACAGAACAACTAACACACCTGCAACATTTAAGTCTGCAATGTAACTGTGGAGGCTGATGGGAAGAAACTAACCTGCAAAGGAATACAGAGACATTGACACAGAGAAAATCCATAGCTAATACCAACAAGTCCGTTAACTCACGGCTTTGTACTAGAACCAGCATGGACAAAACTGCCTGAAGATGAATGGGTATATTTGGAAGTATCACTTGCTTGCTATCCTTTTCTGTACTTAATTTCTTTCCAGTAGCATCCTCTGTTGTCTAGCACACAATAAGCAACTATTCTTCCAATGAATTCTGTGCAGTACCTTAGTAGATTATCTCTTCAAAGAAATGAAGTGTCTCTGCTTTTCTTGTGACATTTAAGAAAGACATTTGGATAAAATCATTGTGTAAAATGTTTTGGGCCAGGGCCAGCTTCCATTTGGTGTTTATAAAGCCCTAGGAGCTGGAACTCTTCAAGTATACAGTAATGCTGAGCAATGGCACGTAGTCTGCACTACTTCAGGTTTTGTTAATTTAATGAATTACAAACCCCCCCCTCTGAGACCATTATAGCACTGTAATTTTGTCACAGTCTAAACAGTGCAACGGTAAGGTAGTAAGTGGATGGAAGGCTGCTAAAGATAACACGTACATATCATGATTTTTGACAGTTTTCTTTACAGCATTGTTCCCTCCTGAGAGCTGGTCCATTGATTTCATTCAGCATAGGATTAACCACTTGATTGTTACTGGAAATAGTACTACATTATGGATGGGCTCTTCTGCACAGTGGAGAATGTAGTGGCATGAATACACATGAGTACAAATCAGCTCTTGGAAAACAGGGGCAATTAATAAGGAAAACCGAAGGGAGCAGGCGGCAAGACTGAACAGAGCAAAATTCAAAAATTAAGAACCTATGAAATGCCAGCAGTGCTAAAGGTTTGGTAAAAAGAAAAGCATGAGTAAATAGTCAGCTCTGAGTAAATAGTGAGGGCTGAGGAAGTAAATAGTCAGTTAATAAACTGAAGTGGGATATCTGCATCTTGCAACCACAGTAAAACAGTTCTAACTAGAAATAGAGGCAATACCAAAGAGAAAATCTCACACATTTATAAAACATGACATGTAAAAGCATCAAGAGAAATGGGTGAGGAGCTCACTGAACCTGAACTGTTCATTTTTAATAATCTTTGAAGAGTAGGCAATTTTCAGGTAACTGGAAGAGAGCTGATGTAGCTGTCTTTCAAAGGCAAATAGGACTCAGGGGACTGCAGGGGTGTTACCTTTCATACACTAACTGCTGAATCATGGGGCAAATGAAGGGAACACAAATAGTAAATGGCAGATTACATGCTATCTGGTGCCACTTGGTTTGTCAGACAACCTTGATTTTAGTTTTAATGACAAAGTTAGTTAATGTGGTGGGTTGACCCTGGCAGATGCTAAGTGCCCACCCAGTTCTTACTTCTCCCAGTGGGATGGGGGAAAGATTTGGAAGAGCAAAAATGAGAAAATTCATGGTTTGAGATAAAAACAGTTTAATAGGTGAAACAAAGCTGCACATGCAAGCAAAGCAAAATAAGGAGTTCATCCACTACTTCCCATCAGCAGGCAGATGTTTAGCCACATCCTGGGAAGCAGGGCCTCAGCACGCATAATGGTTACTTGGAAAGACAAATGTCATAACCATGAACATCTTGTTTTCCCTGTTTTCCTCCCCCATTCCAGGAGCTCTTACTGCTGAGCAGGACATTATATGGTATGGAATATCTCAGGTCAGTTCAGGTCAGCTGTGCCAGCTGCTTCCTCTCCCAGCTTCTTGTGCACCCCCAGCCTACTCACTGGCGTTGGCGAAAACCACCTTGATGTTGTGCAGGCATTGCTCAGCAATAGCCAAAACACTGGTGTGTTACCAACACCGGTGTAGTCACAAAAAACATAGCACAAAACAGGCTGCTGTGAAGAAAATTAGGTTAATCCCAGCCAGACCCAGTACAACTGCTCACAATATTTTTAAATATACTCCCACAAGATATTTTGCTAAAATTAAAGCAGTATTAGCCCAAAATCCATCATAGCCCTATAACAAGTTGAAGACAGGTAAATCATCGTGAATCATTGTATATTCAGCTCATCAGAAGACAGTCTTTCCAAGAAGGCCAGCTGATCAAACACTGTTCATTGCCAGTAATATATAAACCCCAGTATTTTTCACAAAATAGTAGCTAATAAGGGCACTAGTTACATGGATTATTGTAAGTGCTCACTAAGTGACACACTTGGCAAGGATTTGTACCTTTAGCTAGACAAAGGATCGTAGAATATGCATTCTGTGACCTGTGTCATGTCATGACACTGTCCTGGAATGCTGAAATGCCAGGAAGGATTCAGGAAATCATGACAGATCATCAACTGAATATGAGCTCAGCAAGCACTCTTCTTGCTTAGAGGATGAACATGCTCTTTGAAAGCATAAGCAAGAAACTAACAGGCAGAAACAGGAGGGAATGTTAACTCCTTGTTGTGTGTCTGGTGCTTACAAGACTGTGAGTATAAAATGAAGTTCTGACGCAGACACTTGAAGATAACCACTGTGCCAGAAAGATAAAAAGGCTACAGAAATCTGCCTTGTAGTAAGAGACTCACAAAGCTCAAATTGCAGGTAACTTGCTGTCAAGAGTAATTGGGAGGCTGATAGAACCTGGATAAAGAACACCTTTTGTGTTTTCCTTCTGCCTTCTTCATTCAGTTCATAGAGCATGAAGTGTAATTTCTCTATGTCACACTCCCCTGAGTTTCTGTTTCATGGTGGTTTTTTTTTTTTTGCGGGAACAGAACCAGAGGCCCTGGGGAGCATCTACAGGAATACTGAAGCCAGATCTGTGTAGAACCTATTGGAGCTGACAGGGCTTGTTAGTTCGGATCAAGTGCCATGTCAGTGTAACACACTACTTTCAGACCTGAGCTGGCTCCTGAAGCTGCAGTGCACTGCCCCTCAGCTAAGATGCCCAGCTTGCTCCTTACTCTCAGCTCAGACAAGTTAACTGGTTCATGGAGAGCAGATAATGACTTATTTGATTATGAAGAATAATCTCTGGAAAGGATTTTTGATGGCTGATGAAGCTTAATCTGGCAGAAAAAAGGCAGCATAATATCCAATATATTAAAGTCAAAACTGGGCAAATTTGGAGCAGAGAGGAAACCTGTGGTTTTGACATGGAGAATAACTGGCATCAAGATACATTAAGAACCCTAGGATGGTCCATTCAACTGGAAACCAAAACAGTAACACAAATGGGCATTTGGCCACAGAAGGTACTCATAATGGTTTCTCTGCCTTGTGCCACCTAGAAGGTTAGACTGGATGATAACAGCCAATCTCCTTTGGCATTACAATTCATACATTTTTCTGTCAGTGTGTAAAACCAATTTTATCCATTCCTGATTACTGATGTTCCTCCAGCATCGTTCGTAAGGAAGCAGATGTCTAATCTGAGATCTCAGGCAAAAGTGTTTTCTTCTGTGTAGTACATATTACAGTGGCCCTGGTTAAGATCTTAGTCTCAGGGCCATAATGAATTCTTAGATGTTGAATGGGCTATCCACTGATTTTAACAGGAATGATTTTTACATAAACCCAAGATCCCTTTCCCTTTTGCCATGTGTTTTCCCAAGCAGAAGTGCAGCTCATTATGCAGTACGGGATGAAAGATGCTGTTCAGTATGATACTATTACCTGTGCTAGTTAAAGATTTGGATTTCCTATTTAGATGAAAATAGAGAATAAAATATAAGAAAAGCAAAGCCTTCTGACATTATTGTGTCATGAAAGAAGGAACAAACCTGTATATTGGTTTCTTAAATGTTGGTGAGGATATCAGTTTCCAACATTGGCCAGTTCTCTTCGAGTGCTATCCAAAGGTTTTAGATTAAGGGTTCGGGGTCCAATCATAAAACCAAGGATGATAATAGGTGAGGTTTAGCACATCCCAGAGGGGAATGGTTTAAGACTTTCAGTTAATGCAAAATCCACCAGAACAACATTGTTACTAGCCTCTCATTAAGTAAACAGCCACTGGCAACTGCTGAAAAGCAGTATGATTTCTGATCACCCTAAAATATGCCAAGAGACTTACAAATTTTGGTCTTGTGTACAACAGTTCAGGGTAAGAAGTTCATACTGAGCCACAGTAATGATAAAATAATGCTATTATACTTTCACCTTCATTACACTCTGAATCATGCATTGAAGTTTCTGTAAACATGTCTAACATGCCCTAGGCTTGGTTTGCACTGTATAATAAAAATGATGAAAATAATTGAGGTCAATTGAGTTGACCTATAGTGCTTTTTATTGTTTTAAATTTGTATAGCTAAGATTTAAATTGCAACAAGTGATCAGGATTTTGCTTATAAACCTAAACTGACAGGCAATAAATGGATCAGAAAAACTAATTTTAAAAAATCTTATTTAAACAGATTTTCCCTACCATGACATGTTAGTAGTGCCTTTCTAAAACAAAGTAGCATAAACCAGAAGGAATCTGAGCTGCTGAAAATTAATTTTTTGGTTAATATGGCCATTTCACTCTGTTAATAGTTCTGGTCAAGGCATCTGAACAAACAGAAATAATGGGACTGAAAGGTAGTAGAATGATAATTCTGAAGACTTGTCCACAATTGCAAGGAGCTTTGCTTTTTTTTTTTTTTTCTTTTTCTGTATCTTATCTGACATATCATATTTCTGTATCATATATTAATTATGTTTAATTAATATAAAGTCAGCTCAGCTGAAAATTGTGCACAGTTAAAGATGGCATGCTGTGACCTAAATCCAGATATCTTTAAATAGGGCAGTCTCATTATTTGAGCCTAGGTCTCAATCTTACTTTTGTCTTATCTCCACATGATTAACAAGGAAATCTAAATGTTTCTGGAAGAAGACAGTTGACTAGGATACTGTGGCATACGTGTGCTACCTATGGAACCTCCCATCAACTCTTTGCCTATCCAAGGACACCAAAGCTGAAACATGTGACAAAGGTTAGAGCAGTACCTCTGGAATAACTTTTTTTGTTCTTCAGAGGAGTCTGTATGGCTAGCAAAAGAAGAATTTTTGCAGATTTATCGCTCTGAATTTTTAAGCAGTTAATCATAGTAAGGTACTTTTCCTTCTTAACCATCAAAAAGTGGAGTGAGATGGGCTTTTCTGTGAGGATCTTGTTATAATCATACACTGGCTTTATTAGAATTGTTTCTCTGACTGAAAGACTGGAAGAGAAGTAAAGAATTGATTTCTATATGTTCTACTTAATAATGCAATGTATTTAAATATAATAGAAAAAAAACAGAGAAGAAATTTAAGTAAGGAACGTGCTAATCCACTTTCCTGAAGATGGATGCTAATTTTATTTGTCTTGACCCTCCACTGAAACCTGTCTCCATTATCTATCCAGTGGGATTGGACGTCTCAGCTTTGTTCCACCGAAGACCTTTAAAAAAATAAATTCCAAAATTTCAGGAATTAACATATTCAAGTGAACAGACCACTTTGATAGCATTTTGTAACAGTACAGACAAAAAATTATTTGTTGTGCATGTAGCTCACAGAAAGAGTCTGATCTCATTTTACTGTAAATCCATTGCAGTGCCACTGGCTTCAGCATAATTGCTCCTAACTTTCCAAGACACAAGACATCCGGTATTTTATTTTCTTCTTCTGGAAGAAAATGAAACATAGATTTCCAAGGCACATTAATGGTCAGAACAATAGAATATGCGCCAACTATTTGAACACCGTGCTCCTGAGTTTTCTGTTTTCTGACATACTCTGTAATGCTGCATGCACAAGCATTAAGTCATATATATTTGAATGTAGAGTATCCTATTCATCCCACCAAACTAGCCATCTAGATGTTAGGACTCTCATCCAAGCTACTTCTCCAGGTACACTCTATAGAAAGAGCTCAGCACCTATGCTAGGGGTGATTCTTTCCATCCTCTGATAGGTGGGATGGACAAGGCTCTGTGGACATTCTGGTCTTTCTCCATAGAAGGAAGGAACAACCTAGGAAGCCTTGCTAGACAGCCTGCAATAAATTGTCAATACTACCCATAAAACAGTATTGACTCACGCTTGACTTAACCTGTGTGAAGGTAGGAATCAATAGTTTTTGGGCTGGTTAAAGGAGTTGAGTCTGAACAAAAAGTTAATAACTTGAACAGAAGTAATTGTCTGTAATACTCACCTTGTGGCACACTCTCTTCAACTGGCTTCCCAAGCTTCCACCAAATGGAGAATGGAATTGAGTGGTGAGTAGTGGAAACCACGTTAGAAAATGAAATTGAGAAGCAGATAGTTACCAACAGAGTGTCAGGGTATGAGACTAATAATTTACTAGTGATAATGGCTTCTGCTGTATGAATGCCACCACAAAAGGTAGAAAACACTTGTGCTTACCTCATATATTGGAAGACACCCAAATACTGCACCAGCCTCTCTGTATCCAGACTCAAAACATTCCAAAGGTTGTCTATGGATCTGACCAAGGAAAGCCAAAGTCAGTGCATTACTAGCTGAATACAAAAGGTAATGAAGACATTACTTCTGCTCTCAAAATGCATGGTAACATTCATGTTATTTGAAGAAATGTATGTAATTACTACGTGGAGCAAATATGGTTTATGCACAGGCTTTTTTTTTTTTTTTTTTTTTTTTTTTTTTTAAATTAGGAGGGGATCAGTCTTTTGCTATAGAAAATGCATAACCAGCAAAATTCCAGCTTCCCAAGGGACACATAATCAAGACAGTTAACAGCAAAATGCTTTTTATCACCTAAGTTAAAGCTAGTTTTAAAGACTTAGTTCTCTCACCTATTAACACCCTGGATAAGATCACTAAAGGAATAATTTTCAGGGTACTTGTCAGGTTTGGTGGATGCATGCTATCAGAGGACAGTGGAAGTCTAGCCAAGGAGTAATAGAGTAAGAACTCCCTCTCAGACAATAGCTTCATCACAGGGTTGTCAGTCTGGCTATCCTGTTGGGCTTTGCAAATCGTGAACACTTCAGCAGCCAGTTGTGAAAGATGCAGATGAACACGACATTTCTTCTGTTAACTGTTGAAAGCTTTGAATTTGCAAAACTACCTCAGGTACCTTGACAGTTCATCCACCTCACATGAATCCTGAGACTTACCTAGGTATTACACTTATGGTCAGGGCAGGAAATGAAACTGTCTTTACATGATATAGCTGTTATTTCACCCTAGGAAGCCAATTTATGGTCCTCCAAAAAGGAAAAAAAAAATGCATCTACAGCTTGAAATACCACAAAGAACTCTCATTTCCAGCAAATTTGATAATATGAGTTTAATTTGAAATGGCACATTATACAGAGATTTTCTACTTACATTTTTTTATGGTCTTACTAACACATTACTGATTGTGCTGCAGTACTAACAGTTTAAGAGACGCCAAAACCTCAACAATGTAAAACATTCCTAAAGGAATCTCTTCCAGTGTCTGTCTGTCAATTCTAAGCATTACTCATGTGCATTAATTTCTAGGCATTACCTACTGCAGAAAGACAGGACAATTGAATTATGTTGAGCCAATCATATACTCTAGGTATCTGCACAGCCACTGAATAGCACACCTCTAGTCTTAAGTGCAAACTAAAGTCCACTGGCTTGATAGGCAATCCACTGGCAAATGATATGAAATCAAGCCTTTTTCTCATCAAAAGCTCAATCAGAAGGGGACTCCACTGCTAACATATCAATTATCTTCTGCTATGATACCTCCAGTGAGTCCTCTTTTCAAATGACTAGGTAAAACCCAAAGCAAAGCCAACCTCTACTGACTTGTTCCACAATGACCTCAACCACTGACTTCGCAACAGTAAATTTAATGTTTTATACCCATCATCAACATATTTTTTCCACTAACACTTCTCTCTCTTACTACTACTGCTCTATCTACGGCTGGCAAACAGCAGGGCACCAATGATCAACTGCCGTTACTTTGCAGTGCATGTTCCTACATCAGCTACATCAGTTTCTCTGTGATTTAAACACAGGCTGCTCTGGAGACAGTGCAGCACCTGTGAGCTACCAACTTGTTGTAAAAAGTATTCATAACAATATCTAAACTAACTCAGAACTCTCCTGGTTTCTGATTTAATGGGAACCCTGGAAGAACTAATGGGAACCCTGGAAGAACTATTGTGTATAACCATGGATTCACTGTTGTTCTAGTATTTTCACACTTCCTTCAAGTAAACTTAAGATATTTAGGATTTCTGTTGGAGCATGTGAAAATTCTACGGGTTTTTTTTTAATGCTGTTAAACCAAACAAGTGAATCAGTGTGTGCTACCTTCTAAACTGGAATTTGGAAGTGTGATACAATGAGAATGAAAACCAGGGAGGTTTCTTCAATCCTTATGCTTATACGTTTTTGTTCTAGCTTGTCAATTGAATGAGAAGAATATGTAGGGTTATTTGTGGCTAATTTCTAAATACAATTGCCTTTCTTACGCACTGCACAGAACAGAAACAAATTTGTCATATACATTAGGTACCTTTGGAGAAACCAGAGCTTTGAAAAACTTCAAGTCTTGATTTATGTCCACATGTTCAGGCTTTCTTAAAGCTGAAGGTGATCTGCTCAGTGATTTCCAACTGTACACACAAGACAGAAAAAAACCTGATGCACCTATCAAAATAGCAATTTCAAATGCAACATTCTTATCTGGCTCTGAAATAAAATTAGTTTGAATTGTAAATTATTCCACATATCTTCAAAATATAATTTATATTAGGACCTTTGTAGGTGTCATGAAGTGTTTCACTAACATTTTGTCAATCCAGACACAGGCTTGTCATCTTTAGAAGGCTGGAAATGTTAATATGAAAAACATTAGTTACCACAGCTAGGTACTAACTCACTGTCTGATAACAGCTTTTCAGCATTTCTGTCAGTTCTGACTGCAATTCTTATATGACACTTTCATAACAAAGAAGGTTTCCTCTGCTCATATATCTGGTTTCCAAAGTTAACCACAAGAAGAAGTGATCTAGAGTGTCTGTTAGTGTAGATTAACACAGTTTGATTTATAATGAGAAAAATTAAGTCAGATCACACAAGCTAAGGAATTATAAACTACTCTTCTAATTGTGTCTCTCCACCTGCTGACATTTTTCAGTAGATCACCTGAGCCACTTGTTTAAACTGTAAGCACCTATGCTATTCAGCTGGGTTTGTACCTTTTCAGGTCTATGCACATTTGGGGAATATCTGTTAATAGCATTTATAATTTTATTTATTAATTGAAATTCTAAAATATTATCTTAGTGACTTATATGACAGCTATCCAATAAGCAAATTGTGGTATCATCATGAAGATAACTGATTTGATCCAAAAGAAGCTTCTGTACCCTGTAAAGAACAAAGCCTAGCATCCATAAGTCACACAGCATTTGAATGACAGTTAGCTAGCTATCCATTACACTGTTTGGTACAATTATTACAGAGGAATCAAGTTACTCTTGAGGTGACAGCACATAGAGTATATAGAACAATAAGACGGAAACTTTCTATTGTGCAACATGTGGCTGCCTTTTTTTTTCCAGTTCTCCACACAGTTAAGCAGGCTTCTCATCTGCTTCTGGCTTGTTTAATTAATGTGTTTTAAATGTACGATAGCCATTCTCCTTTACTGAAATATTTGAAGAGTCCTCAAAAAGTAGTCACAGTTTGACAAAGGCATGTCATTTATGAAAAGTTTCTTTAAGGTTAGCTGGCTTAATTACAGTATCTTTGATTCCAGAGGTTTCAAACTAGCTGCTGACTATTCAGAATGACTACAGGGGTTAGTCCTTCAAACACAGCCAAGCACTTCTCTAAATTGATGAGTTACTGTTCTGACTTCACTGTGACTACTCACATTAGTAAGAACTATATGAAATAATAAGTGTTAGCAGGATGCTGACCTAAATGGGGAAACAAAAAAGCAACTTACAGATTTCCCATTGCCCCAGAGTGCTTTGGTTAAAAGGGGGCCTAACAATGCACATGGTATATGGAACCTTACCACTAAAGCACGTATGACTTTTTAAGCCCCGATGTAATTTTTCCCAGATTTGGACTGCTTTGTTACTAAAGGCACTGTGCAAATTGCCTCTAAAGATTTCTGCTTTGTCTTTATGTTAATTTGGGCAACCCACTCAACGAACCAGGGAGCTCCAGGACTAGAAATATGACTTAAGCTAGAGGGCCAAGGCTCTCTGGCTTGACTTGTAACTAACCTATGTTCCTTGAGAACTCTGACTTGAAGGAGAGAGGTCCGACACTGCTATTCAACACACAACATTTATGCCAGTGTCAGAACATCAAGATCAGAGGTACATGAATGTGTCCATAACATCCCAGCGAATTTAGGAAGACCATTTTTCAAACTGAAAGATTAAATTTGGTTTATTCTTACAGAAGGATTTGGGTTTGGGTTGAAACTATTCACATTAAGCTTTTTCAATACATTTTTTGGGATCCCATAAGTCCATCAGCTTGTGGAACTGGAAAGGAAACAGGATGCTAAGCTGAACACTGTACATAACATACAGACTCTAATTAGGCTAAAATCTGAGACAATTATCTAGTCATCATTATTACTGAATTCAAATCTTGAACATCACCTAATCCTGACTGTCACCTGGTTATAACAATTAAAAGATTTATCCATGCTGTGTAAAAACATTTTTGAAAAGAAGTATTTCCTACAAGTTATTTAGAAAAAAAAATTTTTTTCTGACCTTCAGGTGAAAGGTGCTTTTTAAGTCTATTTTCAGAACTGTTTTCCCAACCATACATGTATGTAAATGTATGAGATCTTACTTGTCCCTGTCCAGCATGAGAGGATATTCAAAATTCTTCTTTTCCATATGCTTGCTTTCCTCTTTAATTATAGTAGGAAAGTTATTAACATCACAAGGCAAAATCAACCGACTGATATCTGATAACTCAAACTTCCTGGGCTGTCCGAAGTAACCAAGATAGCATCCGTTCATGGCATGCCAGAGCCTACAGACAGAGTAGAAACAGTGCCAAAGGACAGAAAGAAAAAATAAATACTTTTAGAAATGGAACAAAAATTGAGCATATATCTGTTTAGATTATCAAGTTCTGCAGTACCGTTCTAGAGTTCAGTCTAGAGATTGAAGTTCCCTGTTCATACTGTAACTAACTTGAGAGTAAAAAATTCTCAGGAAGAGGTTGTAAAAATCAGAAAACAAAGTTCATCTTTGTAATTACAAAACTGAGGAATAAAGGCACCGATATCGTGAATTTCTCCTACAGTAAGGTACTGCCACCAGAGTAGGATCTACACAGAATTTCCTTATTGATTCTCCCCCCAAAAAACAAAAGAAACCCTTCCAAATGTACTTGCTAGCCAAGGAATTACAGTTGTCTATAAAGCATCTTCAGACTGCAGTGGTTTAATTGCATAAGCATTGGTTAGATGCAATGCTTAGGACCCATGTTAATTTAACAAGTATTGAAAGCTAAACAGAACACAAAGTAATTTCTAAAATGATGGGGCTGTTACCTATGCATTCAAGGTCATCTTGCTGAAAGAAAATGACAGTCTGCAAAAGGTCTGACTTCCTGAGAAAACTGGAAGTGTCACATAAAAAAAAATTAGTTCTTTCAGGTGCAGAACAGAAAAAGCACACAATGTTGTATTTTATTTAAGTACTTTATCTAGCCCATCTACAAGTCCAGCAAGAAGAGAAACTCTGGAGACAGTTCAACTGATTGGACATAGCAGTAAGAAGTATTAGTCATTTTTGTACCTGACTGAACCATCAATAGAAGCTGTCACTACCACATTTTTCTCATCTTCATGAAATAAGTCAACCACTTCAGTAGAGTGTGCGCTCCAGCAGAGCTCCTCCTTTATTTGCTGAGGGAAAAAAAAGCAACATAACCATATTATAGGCAGTTCTGTATGCCACCATGGTTGCTAGCTTAGTGGATTTATCAGCATGGCTTTCTGAAAATTAAAAAAGGAGAAAAAGTAATCCCTCCATAAAACAGCCTGCAAAGGGCATATTGGTAGAAACACCACTCAGGGGACATAGATAAATTCATTCTTAATGTAGCCTCTTTGAACACAATGGAATAATGCTAATAGCATTTTACTTATGTTTTTCTTGTTTTTCACAGCATCAAGTTATTATTTCAAGTAAAAGACATGACCTTTATGTGCAGGAAATATTTTTAGTCCCTGCAGAGCTCTGAATCCATTTTTCTCTTTTTGTCTTATCTTGGTATACTGTTCAAGTCAAGAAAATCTGTCAGATTTTTCCTTACATTTTTACTGTTTTCTGGATCTTCTAAGAATGAGGCAATGCTCCAGCACATAATATGTCCCTCTGTTTAAGAAAGGAAAAAGCAAAATATCAGTAAATTTTGTTAGTGCTACACATTCACTTGTTGCTACCATATGCTCTTGGTAAACACTGAGCAGAATGAAGCAGAGATTACAGGTCAGTGGAAGTTATTTTAAGATGAATGCCACTAACTCATTGTCAAGCACAGAGTAGAAAATAATAGACTATTCATTAATATGCGAAGAAATATATATATATTTTGTGAGCATGTGTCATTAATAAAGTTTTTTTCTTTAAATATCATTTAAAAAAATAAGAGTCATCTTGTCAAGACAGTTATTTAGTGCACAAACTAGGTATGAGAGCTTCCTGGGGATTAAACTGTTTTTCAGTCCTGGTAAAATGGACAAAGTTTGATTAATTACATACATAATGAAAGCTTAATGCTTTACAACCTTTTAGTGCACTCATGTGAATAAAAGAACCACTTTCCTTATGACCCACAACTGCTCAATTTCCTGCCTCTTTCCTGATGAAGTTGCCTCTTATCTCTCATTTCTACTACTAGACAGAGGAATCTTTTCTCTGATTCCAACTTTCATACTGGTCACATTTGATTTCTAGGACCATACATTTTCGAGAAAGCAAGGAGGCTGACAGAGAAGTTGACCTTTTCCTAACATGGAAAAATCTGTAATGGGAAAAAGAAATTGGTAGTACTGCAGATAAGAGAGAAGGGTGTGGAAAGCATGAAAAGCAAATACACAGTGGTGCAAACATAAAAGGACAGAGTATCAGATGAACAGGTAATAGGATGGATACTTTTCCACAACTAATTAAAATCCTGTTCAGTGCATGCTGCCTTCCTGAACTCATTTACTGATTGATTCAATGGGGAGTGAAACTTCATTTTCAGCACCAATGTCAAGCTACTGTTCAGTTTTGAAAAAAACCCAAACTTGCTCCATCCAACTTCTGACAGCATAAGAAGACCAGGAAGCTAACAGGAAAGAGTTCTAATAGATATTTTAGAAGAAAAGTGACACATTAAAGGACAAAAATCTCATATGACAGATGCAGAAGAGGAAAATTGCCAGGGTGATTCTAAAGGTTTGGAGGAGAATCAAACAGCAGATAAACTCTTGGACTTTCTGCCAAATGAAAGCTAGATTTGGTGTGAAATTAAAAGTCTAACAATGAGCTGCTAGCACAGACACAAGTGCTTTCTTTCCTTATATAACAGCATATTGCTGAAGCCATTACTGTGCAGTTCATTAGTGTCCAAATCATGGCTCTTGGTACAGCCACAGCTGCAGTTTTTTATTTAGTTTTATTACCATGGATGAGAAATTTTTGGTTTTAGCAGTAATATTTGTCCTTGATATTAATACAATAATTCAGATGGAAAGTATATGCAGGGCTCGTGAATGAAGAAAATTTTAATGTCTTTTATGAAGACAATTTTAGTGATAATGCTACTAATATTAAGCTTTAATCTACCATCCTTTCACACTAGAAAATACCTTGTCAATTATTTAATTATCGCCTTGATGGAGAAAGTCTGGCAGCATTTGGACCTTCATTTCCACATTTCTGGCATATTCACAGGATGATATTTTGAGGTCCTACAGAGTGTCCTGAACAGAATGACTAACATGTTAACTCACCCTTACTGCCTGCCAAAAGCATTTTAGCGGAGGTGTCTGTACATAGTGCTGTCAGAGGAACTGAAGGATATTTTGAAAATGGCAAAAGTTCTTTCACTAAGGTTCCCTAAAAGAAATAAATAAATAGGCACGTATTTATAATATCTACATGAAAAAAAATGCATCAGAAGTTGAGTGCCATTGATTTGACCTATTCAGCATTACTCAGCTCATATCTATTCAGAAAGCTGTTAAAAAGGTAGGTTCCTAATCTACTGAACGACCAAGATAGCTGGGGTGTATTCTTCTAGAGTGCTGTCTCTTCTACATCAAAAGAACAAGCTATTTCACTCTTCAAGCAATTCAGTCTAGCTGTATGTACCTCTACTTCACCTCTTACCTCTCATTTACTGTGGAATATCATCAGTATGCATCTCATTCGCCACTAAAATATTTCTTGCTGCAAATGAGCCCATGATATCTCCTTCTCCAACTTGTTATATTTTTCAAGTAAGCACGAGTAGACTTTCTCCCTTACTGCCTCTTTAGGTTTGGAAGGAGGTTAAGGTGAATGTCTTGCTGATAAGGAGATTCCTGACTGAGTCACCCATACAATGATGATGACAATCACAACGGTGATGACATCACCATCATCTGAACTTGGAAATTCCTACAGGAATCTAAGCATGCTAATGACCAGTATTACCCAATCACATCATGGTAGTCCCCCTTCTTGCTGTATTTACTTTATATCTCTTGCTTAGAGTAACATGTTTTCTGGAATAGAGTGTTATAGATCTGAGGTGATATGACAACTAAGCCATTGGCATTCTGTTGCATGACTGGCTTTACAAGCTGATTAGAGCTGTAGACATTATGTGTTAGGATACTATTAAATATGTCCTGATTTGTAACCCTACTAGTGCTAGCTGGCTTATGCAGTGTTCCAGAGATTTTTTGTCTCTTTTGAGAGTAGGACAGTCTTCCTTGATTATCATCCTTTCTTAGAAGTTAAATGTTGTGTGTGCAAAGTCAACTTCTAGACTTTCACATAACTTTACAGTCGTTTTTTGTTATAATTATTTCAAATCATGTTTTTTCATTTTCCACTTGTCATTACTCCCAGCTACAGTTATTAAAGCAGAACTAATTTGTGTCTGTGGAAGAAACTATTACCCAAAAAATGCAATAAAATATCTGCTGCTGCAATTGCTAGTTAAATTGCATGTTTCAAAAGCTTAGAGTTATCTTCTCAATAGTCCAGACCCATCCCAAAGACAGTCAGTTACCTGAATACTCCATAGGCAGATACAGCCATTTTCATGAGCAGAAGCCAGTATTGGTGGGTGTCCTGCTACAGCTTTGGATGACTGTACATTCTTCTTCAAGTACTGGATATTACTATACCTAGTTGTGACTTCTGCTTTGGAACACAAATGATCATACATTTTCTCAACAATTTTTAGTACTACTTTAGAATGCATAGAAATTACATAATATGGGGAAAAAAAAGTAAATTTGAAATAAACTCCATCAAGATGGATTACTCTGAAAACATTACAAATACATCTTCATGATCTTATCTAAACCAGCCAGAACTATTGCTCCATTATGCAGGGGAATCTTACTTAAAGCACAGCAACAGATTTTACAGAAACTGCAAGCACCAGTGAGGGTAGGGCAGAAGTGCAAGACAGTGGTCATCATGACAGCTGAGAGGCAGTTCTGCAGCCTCTGCATGAAGCTTCTAGAGATTTCTATAAATTCAGCAATGAAGTGAAGTTTAATAGCTAAATGACACTTAACAGTTCTGAAATCATAGACTTCTATAGTTATTTCACCAGTTTAAAACTTTTGCTAAATGCAAGGTGGTGGTCATAAAGAACCTTTTTTGAGTTCCTGCTATGACTTCCCCCGAGCTGGAGATGCTGGGGGGTCCCATGAAAGTTCTCAGTGAAACAGACATACAGTATATGCAGGACCTGACATGACTGTCTATTTCATTGAGCTGCTACAAGGTTTAGGGATATTCTGGTTTCAGGGCATGTTTTCTTTGCAAAATAAATTCAGTTGAAATTCACATTTCAGATGATCAATTTCCTTGTTACTGGGAAGTCTGTTTTCCATCAGAATATGTCTAAAGGATTCGGAAGAATCTAGAGGATTTGCTTCTTGCAAATTCACCAACTCCATTTGGATGGCTTTAACTTTTAAGGACTCTCTTGTTTCTGTTGTTTTAAGGATATATACTGTAGGGAAGACTCTTTCTTTGAAAATTTAATCTGCTTTTGAAGATTTTGTCTGTGAGGCCATTCATTCATGCTTGACTCATGTTTGCTCCTGCTATATCATTTCAATAATTCATTGCTCAAATATTTATGTGGAAGAGAAGTGTGTATAGCTAACATTCCCAGATTGTGCAAGGTTTTCGGCATCATATCTATTTAGAAAAAACATAAATCAAGCCCTTGCATATCCTGCATCCTGGCCTGGCTTTTTGGAAATAACTTCAAATCAGAAGGGAGTAGAAGACCTTGAAGCGTGTCATTCACACGCCAATGGTATACCAATTATTCTAAACACAGTTTGCCAGACAAACTGACAAACTCAGTTTTGATACTAATCTGGGCAGAACTCATGAATCAACAACAAAAGAGAATTCAAAACATCTTTCATACCTGTTGTTATTTGAATCTTAATTTCATCATTTCTTACATTTTCCTAAAAGCAAGGAATAAAATGTAACAGAATTAGAAAATGGAATTTGGGTCTAACTAAGAACTATTCTCTAGTTGAAATTATTTTTAAGAAATTTTTTTTTTTTTTTTAATTGAAGGATTCAAATATTACCCCAATTTCCATTCAATCTGGAATGGCACTGAGTGAAAACAAGAAACATTTCATCTGAAGAGAAGCAAAATCATAGATGAACAAATCACAGATGAAATTAATTGGAACTTAGGAGCATGCTAAAGATAAATTTGGCTGAATGTCATTAATTTCTTAGGACAAGCAGTCAATCACTTAGAGTCATGTGAATGTAACCTAAATCTCTTACAGAGTTTAATTCAGAATATGCATATAGCCTTGTTACTGCCTTGAACAAAGATGAACAAAGTGCATAAACAGCAATAACATTTACTCATATCTGCATCTTCAGTATGAGAATTGTCACAGCTCTTCATTTGTGCCTTACTATATAGGCTTCTGAGGATCCCCAACGCTGACAGTAATCGGTATATTGGCCCCAAAATTTGCCAAGTCAAATAAGGCACGAAAAAATATGCAGTCACGAGTATTTGAGGTATCTTAAAAGGTGACATGCCAATTCAATCTCATCCTACTTATTGATCTGTAAGGCTTGATATGTTGGGCTTCTGGGGATCTTTTTAAGAGCTGCCAGTGACTGTCTATTTTGTTATTCTAATAACTACATGGCACAAGATACTGTATTCTTTAGTTTGTGGATAACATTAGGCATGTGTCTATTTGGGAATCTGTGAAAGTGCCATGCTCTGCTGAAACAACATGCAGGAAAGAATCTGAAATGTAGCAGGATTTTTCTCTTTTTGCCTACTTGCTATTTGTTGCTCTGCAGATATTCTCTTCTGGCATAAAAGGACAAAAAGTGTCACAAAAATCATAATGCTATCCTTAGCAAAAATACACAGATTGAGACACTGGCATCTTGATGGTAAATTAAAAAAAAGAATAAATCATACTGTCATTTAAAATAATGTATCCAAGCAAGTGTGGATTTTTATTCAAGTATTGAATGATTTGTCTATTTTACCTTCCCCTTTGAGTTCTTCTATACCCCCATTTGAAAGTCAGAACTGCTAGTCATAAGCATCAGCTATTCCATGTATCACAGAGCCTGCTGCCTGACAGAATGTATTCTTAGTTCCCCATCTCATTCAGCTTAGGTGAATTAAGTTCATTTCTCTGTAATTCTTGATACTTAGTTTTGTGCATGGCTTAATGGAGGTATTTTAGTAAGCTACAGGATTTTAAAACCAGAACCAAAATGAAAATAGACATTTGTTTTGAATGCTATCAAATCCATGAAGCCACTATACCTACCTTACGTAAGTTTGAAGAACTGTTCTTGTGCTGTGGAATGGCACTGATACCATGCCTCGCAGTAGCAGTAGTAGCGGGCAGGGAGCTAGTTTTCCTGTGTGAAAGAAACTATTGGAGATCACTGACATTCTTGAAGATACCGTTTGCTATCTGGAAACATCATCCAGTGTAATAAGGCATAATAAAATAGCATCTGAATTGATTAGACTGATTAGACTAAGAGTTGTTGATGTTTATAAATTTATCTAAGTAACTAGGCAATTTTTGCACATTACACAGCCAACCTCTCCTGTCAGGAGTTTTGAGCAAGTTAAATCTGTAATAAATCAAAATTAACACTGGTGTGCATCCTCAAGAAGGGGAAAAATTCAGTGCATGCCAATGGTTTGTTCCTTTTCATTTTACACAGTGCTTTGCTCTGCAAATAGTTTTCAGTTATTTATAGAAGCTTATTTTCAATCTGTTAAGAAAGTTCTCAGAAACAGGATTCTGTGGGAGAAACGCAGGAAAAAAAATGGATATGGTCTTCAACGTTTGTGTTTCTGATTCAAGTTCTGGCTGTGCTAAGGAGAGGTTCTTGCCACATAACTTACACCAATGTCACAGACTGCTCTGTTTTTGAGAGGAGTAACTGAATAGCTGGGATAATGTAAAACCCCTACAGAAAGTATGTAGCTGGGGTAGCCCACTTTAATTTGGACAGGTAGCCATGACTTTGTAATTTTTCAGTGTTTGATTTTACAGACTTGCTAGCATTCTTGACTATTGTGCATGTGTATACTGATCACAGTCAAATTCATTCAGGTACCTTCCCAGTACATACAAAACATCCTAAGCCTATATGATTCAAAGTCACTGGTAGGATTCTCCTGCTTAAGCATAATCAGAACTTTTCTTGATTTATAAAATAATCTATTTGTGAATTGTAATCACCACATTTCAATTTAGCTAGGATTTCTTAAAGTAATCATTAAGCTATAATGTCAAATAGCAAATTTATGTTCAGTTAGGTGGCATTAGTACATTTAGGGGTGTAGTAAATGCATAGGCTACTTGGAGGTTTTAAAGCAATGGAAGATCATAAACCATCCTTATGATTCAGGAGAGCAAAAAAGCTGCCTAATTGCTTTAAGACCTTTAAGCTGCATAAGTATTTCAATCATACCGAGTCCTGTTGGCTACCATTGCCTTTGCATATCCACTGGAAGACAAGCTCTTCTGAAGTTATGTACAGGTGCAGTGCCTTTTTCACAAAATTAGCATATTCCGGTAAAATTCTGCTCTCCATTCAACCCTACCAACCTATGCCAGCTCCAAGTGTGTTTTAAGATAAAAGTTGAGGCTGCACACTTCAGTGATCTTGCTTCTCTCTTTGTTTGCTGAGAGTATCTAATAGCATGAGGATTGTATCAGGTTTAAAAAAAAGAAAAAGGCTGCTGCAACACAGTGTTATTTCACAGAGATAAGAATCAAAGAAGGTACCCTACACAGGAAAACTGATACCTGTCAAAAGCTGACTTCTGTTGAATTCTTCAACAGAACTGAGACTTATGAGGTCATTTAGAGAACAAAAGGACAGCTTAGTGGAGTGGTAAAAAAAAGAACATATAATATGAAGTTATAAGCATTACCAAAGTTTAAGGATGGTAAAGCTAATTAACTGTTTGAACTTGAACTGATTAAATACAAGACAAATCCCAATTTAAATCAGCTATCTTGGACAAACATTGCAACAGTTTAGTACAACAAAATTCCAAATGACTTTGTGTGTCCTGGGGCACACAGTTACCTGGAAGAGAAAGCACTATGGACAAGGAATAACACGGCATTGACTCCAGATGCTTGAAGAACTGAAGCCTGGCTGTCTTCATTAATTTTACACCTGAAAATAAAGGTGTTTATACACAATGTGTCAGATAGGTTGTGTATTGTTCCCCAAAAAAGTTGCAGACTTTATTTGGAATCTAAAAAATTAAACATTTAATTTCCCAGAATGTATGTCACCTAAAAGTTTTAGTCACAGTTTTTCAGAATCAGTTGATCAGTTATGATGGATTAATATCAGTGAAGAGTAGGTACAAAATGTGCCTGTGCCAAGAAAAACAGAAACCTGATAGAATGATGAACGTTTAATCCAGCCAAGTATTTTCTTGAGAATTAGCATTTAAGAGAAATGTAAAGTAACTTACGTTGAAGTTAACTAAGTTAATGTTAGAAAAATACCTTGCTCCTAACATTCAAACCAGTCATGTGAACTATGGGTAAAATACTCTACTTACTAAGCACTGACTTTCCTGTCTTCCATGCATCCACATAAATTGGCTTCCTCATATATAGGGAGGCAAAAGCAAAGGAAGATACACAACCAGAACTGCAGTTCAGTTTTGATTATTTCCCATGGTACAGAAAAACTCAACTAATTTTCTCACAAACATGACAATTTTACACATGAAGGATGCTGTGAAACTATTGGGTAGGATAGTTAAATGTTGACTTTGTATGGTCTTAAAAGGCATGTATTCCACCACCAACATAGAAACACTGCAGTGCTGCTCCACCCAGTCTATCCAGACATGTTGTCATTGTTCACTCTCTTGCTGTAGCAGCTTAACACGCATGAGAATATCTGGAACCATCCTATGATCACTTTTTGTCACTTTCTGTGAAAGACTTTTACTCCCAAACCTCCACAATCAATTCAGATTTCTCATTGCTGAATGTGACTTCTAGTCTCCTGTGTATAGACTGATACTGATAATGTAGAGTATCTGCCATTATCATCTGAAGTAGTATTATTTCCAGAAGTCCTCCCAAACAAGAAACTTTCAAAATAAAGATGTTTCTACAGCTCAGTAGCAGCCTCTAGTCAATAACAGAGTGAGTTATATAGCAGGAATTTCCTTCAGTGGCAGTGCTGAGTTATGTTAAAACACTGTTCTTAATTACATCATCCCTTCCCCAAATTACTCTGGATCACTTCTACCTGCAATGTCAGGACTAGCTAGCAAAGTACTATGACGTGGGAGAGAGGGGGGCCCACATAAATTGCTCCTTTAACTCCTGCTTGTCCATCACCCTTTATAGTTGGGTATCTTAAAATTTCTAGTATGCCATTTGAAAAGTTTGTATGAAATATTGGAGATCAAAATGCCTCCATGAAAGCAATACTTACAGGCATCTCACAGAGGTAGATTCAAAATCCCATAGAATTACTGCCCCGTTTGCACTTCCTGTAGCTATCAAACTCCATCCTTCTACTTTTAAAACATCAAAACACTTAATTTCCACAGAATGGACAAAATTCTACAAAGAACATCAAAAAAAAAAAAAGAGTAGGAACAATGTGAACACTAAAGAGTGAAATGTTTTAACTTAGTTTACCAAGATGCCTAAATTGACAGTGTCTACAATTAACTGCATATTAAATGCTATTCTAATACTACTGTATTTGAGCTACACAGAAGCATCAGAAGGAAGTAGGGAGTGACAGTACTGGGAGACTCTCTGCTGCATAGGACGGCCTCCATCTGCCAACCTGACCTGCTATCTGCAGCACAGTTGCAATTAGAGTGTGTAAAAACAGCTTAAGAGCTGAAGATTAATGAGAAGTAGGTATCTATGGAGACAATCTAATCAGGTTAAAGCAATAAGTCACTGAACAGAGATATAATGACCTTCCTACAAATATCTTCCAGATCTGTTACAGAATTAGTGAAATTATACAACACAAAACTTAAGTCTCGTGGACTATTCAAGTTAAATTGGTCAACAATTGAAACATAAATTTTACATCTTATTTTACCAAAGCAATAAGAAGAGCAAAAGGAATCACTTTAACATCCAGCTTGGTCTTTATCTGCCACTATTACTGAAGGTCAGTTTAGCTCTAGCAATGAATGACTTCTCATTTTATACAAGAAACTCAACTTACTATTTTGTAAAGCAATGTGAAGTGTACATTCAGAGCAGCTGCTTAATCATGGCGACAATCATGCAGTGGATTATTACACAGATATAGTCCTTAGAAACAATCACTTTCTTACATGATTTATTTTAGACCCTCAGTGTTCTTTAAAGTTTGTAATACTAATTTAGTTCTTATCCTGTTGTGAAAACATGAAACCTTTAAAGGCACAGTAAACATTTACTTTCCAATCTTCTGTAAATGATGTGGAACTTTAAAGTGTTTCTTACCTCTGTGTCATTCCTCAGAGAACTGGTGTCAGACAGCAGTTGAATATCCGGAAAAAAATCATGTGTTTGTAAGGTGTCAGGCTTCAGTGACAGAGACACAACTGGATTCCTTCGTGGAAATGACACTGCCTCAGGAAGCACCCATGTGACATATAGATATGTTTGGACTGAGTTACCCTATTAAAATAACTGACTTAATGAAAGAGAAAGGAAAGGATTTCTCTATTCATAAGATAATTATCAGCAAGTGTATGTCAAAAGCTTGTTTTCTGTGCCAAATGACAAAACTATTACCCATATCACCTAACATATGCCTACACTGCAAACTGAAGCACCAACCAGAGATATTCCAGCTCACTTTATTATACCTGCTGTTATATTAGAAGCTGTCCAGCTCTGTAGTTCAGAGATTTTGATTTTATTCAGTTTAACTACCTCCTTAAAGTAAGTTGTCTCTTCAGTTATAGCTGCTTGTTCTTTAATGTTGCTTGTCTCCATATCTACTATACCAGCAAAACTGGTGTTTTTTTCCAACTGTGTGAGAAGCAGCAGCCCCAGTTCAGCCATGGCCCCAAGTCACTGATTCCTCTCCATTGTGCCTAGAGGCTACTGGGAGTTACCTTGATAGCTTTTCCAACTAAACAAATTCACTTCAGTATCTAGTTTCTGCTTTTATAACATTCCAATTTGAGGAAGAAAATTCTACAGAAACACGGTTTGACTGAGAAATGAAACCACAATATTGTGAGCTCCAAAAGCATCTTGTTAATTTTATCTGAAGAGAACACAGAGTAGACTCTGAAAATCAAGCCAAGCAAGACAATCTGATTTATTACCGTCTTATTTCTTTGTATCAGTTCTTAAGCAGCCACTGCCTTAATCTAGTAATTTTAGACAAAAAACCCCTCCTTTAGCCAACATCATCTGATATTGAGGTTTTTTGCAGGATAATACCATGGTCACCTACTCTCCATAGAGGGAAAATATACCAAGAGGTATATTGGGCTACAGTTGAAGAGCTTCATAGTGACATAAGTGTATAGGCCTGAGGCCTCTGAGGTTTGTGAAACTGAATCCTGAGTCATGGGAACTTTCTATTCGTAAATATTAAGTGGAGCCTCTATGGCATACAAATGACCAGGATAGGTCAGCAATATCTGAGGGCTGAGCTGTGGAACTGGGACAGTGGTCTCTACAAAGGACAGGTATCCAGAACCCAAGAAGGTGATGCTTTGTCTTCCACTGCCTGAGGAGTGCACTAAGGCTGAAAGGCAGTGGTGAAGGAGGAAAAGATAAAGCTGCCTCATGAGAACATGGCCATAGGCCTGAGGTGCTGTTAAAAAGCAGGGCTCTGACCAGAGCAGTGGGGATAAATAGACAAACAGGATTTGCATGAACAGTCTAACCAGTCTCAGCTGCTGGTGAATTACCTCTTTAAACAGGGTAAACACTGTCTGTAATAACAAGAGCAATATTTTAAAGCCTTTACCTTATAGGATCTGTAACTATTGAAACCTCAGTCAAACAGAAAAGCAAATGCAAGGAAAGAAATTATCGGAATGATGAAAACCAGCAATGGACTAATGAACATATTAACATTTAGACAAAAAGGGAGAAAGCTAATTTGATGACATGCAGAAAGTGGATTGTTCCTTGACAATTTCTAAAAGTTTATCTATTAATTAATGAATAAGTCCTATTTCACCTTGAAAATGAAGAACTACCAAATGAAATTAAAAAAAAAAAAGTGTATTTGAAAAACCTGAATGATTTTCATCTTCCCACTCTGCTCCAAAACAAGAAGTGCATGTTGACTTTCATTAGCCTTCAGATAAACTATCTTCAGCAGACGACACTCATTTTTGCTGTGCTGGGCCAAAGGCAAGGCTTTAACTTCCTGCCCACTTTCAAACTCCCAAATTTTCACTGTTCCTACACACAGGTGAGAAAGATATACAAAAGGGAATGAACTTTCACCAATAACCTGTGCTTCAAAGTCAGAAACTTGAACTGGATCAAACTGGGATAGGAGAAGAAAAAAGAAAACCCAATTGAAGGTTCAGAGCTAGGTCACTGGTCTTTCAAAAGCTGTAGCAGTGTGTGTGCCAATACCCTTAGGGACACAAAGCTTACTAGAAAACATCTTTACCTGTAGCCCCACCATTTTTCCATCTTTTTTCCATGATCTGTTTTATGCTGCAGCCCAGGATAATGGGCTATCTTACTTCTGTTTCTGGGCTGACATCATCAGAGAGCAAGCGGATTGTGGGGCTGTCAGGCAGAAGACTTCAGGTTCCAAGCTACAGGAAGGACCAGAGGGACCTGGTTGCTGGACTTGTCCCACAGAGCTGGGGAGAAGGAGCTACAGCATTATCTTAAGTGAAGCTGTTATTATATATGACTTCACTTTTTTAAGACCTGATAGCATTTGTCTTCTGTTGAGTTCTTAGGATCCATAAAAGGTACAATCTCTGCTCCCAAGTATAAATAAAAAACAATAGCCAGTACACTGTGTGGAAAGCCATATCCTCTTTATGTGAGGCAGCTTTTATATATTTTATATATTTTAATACTTCAGGTGTGTACTCTTGAACATTTGAATGTATGAAAAATTATTCAGTCATGTTAACAGATTACAGAATTATTAAAATTTGCTGCAGAATTCAGTGTAGCTTGTGTATTGAAGAGGTCTTGTCACATTACCTAAAACTAATGCACTCTAAATAACACACATGAAAAAAATCAGGAAACATGTAGAGATATATATATTCTGGTGTTTAATGCCTGCAGACACTATTGCAGTGATGCAATTCCTCTCCCCTCTCCTTGCTGGGCCACTCAGTGCTTGGTGCAATTCCAGCCCCCGCCTTGGGCCACGTACTGCAAAGGCAGTAAACCAGAGTGTTAAGGCGACCCTTTGACAAGCCTGGCTCCTGCTTTCCCTATCGCTTGGGAACAGTTTTAACAGTCCATCGCCTCCTGACAGCCTGGTACACCTGTACCTGGGATGTGTTTGAGGGAGAACAATAACAGAATTGCACAGCCATCAAGTTCTTGTGCAACTGGTGGAAGACATCAAAATACATCGTCATTTGAGCTGGGCCAGAGTGAAAAAGTACCTGAGAAAAGTCAATTGTCTTGGACCCTATAAATAGCGATCCCAATTGAGACCCTCTGAGCTCTCCTGGACTGCAGTGGGCCTGTGACCAGCATCTCCTCTGAGCTGGGACACCTCTCAGGCATCAAAACCTTGAGGTATCATCCACTGATAGAGCCAACGGGAGGCCAGGGCAAAGTCAATTTCCTCAAGTCTCAATTATCACTGGTTGAGAAATGTCGATGCATTGTATTTACTCTAAACTTGAGAAAAGGGAAATTTTAACTTCGGGCTAGCTTCTCTCTCATCCACCTGTCTACCTGTACACAGTTATTTTCATGAGTGTGGGTACATACGTATTTCACTGAATCCAAATACTGACTATGTGTTTGTACATCCTGTGTTTATGAAATATGTCTATATACATTTATTTAGCATACTTTATAGTAAGATAGTGTGAATCTTGTAATCTTCAAATCTGTAATTAAGTTGCTATTTTAATAATGTATTTTATTGAATTATTTTGTAAATCTGTAAATTGGTTAATAATTAAGTGCTGCTAGTCATTAATAAATCTTGATTTGCTGCTAAATCATTACCATGTTAATATTTTCATCCACTACAACTATAATATTCAGCTTAGACACTATGAAGTTGAAAACCTACTGTTCTCCATCTGCAGCCAGTTAGTTACAGATCTAGGTCCTCAGTCCTATGAGGAAACATCTTTTCAGACCTAGAGCTTTGAAGATAGTCTTCCAGAGAGCAATAGGCTAGCAAAGCACCAGAGCCCAAACATCACCTTTCTATGGATCACCTATCAAATAAAAGCCAACCAAGACATCCCCCTGCCCTTTTCCACAGACTGACAGCTGTGCATTCCCTTCTGTGCATACTTCCTCCCACCCTGGAAGAAAGCCAAAATTCATTCTTCTGTCACTGAGACAGTCAAGGCAAAGAGTTCTGTCTGCTCATGTAATATATAATTTAAAATAAATGTAATAAAAATGTATAATTATTTAATTGGTTTACCATCACATGCCCCAGTAGCAAGATAAAAACCATTTCTTTCAATGGCAGCACAGGTCACTTCTGTATTCAGCCCATGTGCATCTTCAATCTGATATATTTGATATCCTGTTTCTAGGTCCCAGACCTGAAAAAATAAGATGGTAATTATTTGTACTACATCCTCTAAAACTCATCACACAGTGTGTTCTAGTGTAATTGGAGAAAGACAAATACTTCCAAGAGCAAATTTTCAGATCCTGTGAAACAGCTTCTCTGTTACAATAACACCCTGCCATGCTCTTTTACAGAAATACTAGTGTAATTTCCCTGAAAATGTCCCTCTCCCCAGAAAAGTCATTCTGGCAAGGGAATTTAGTAGCTGTGAGAAAGACTCTTGTTAATTCAGAGACACTTGTTAAACAGAATGAGTTTTTTACAGCACAAAGGCAAAGAAATCTAATGAGAAAGAGTTCTTTGAGCTATAATTTCTGTGCTGAATATTAAAATGAGGCTTTCCATAAACATTTGGTCCAAAACTATAGGAACAACCATATCTGATCATTATCTAATCCTTTTGGGAATTTAAGCAATGCCTTCTAATGAAGTACCAGTACAAAGTTGGGTCGCTATAGTGTGGTAAGTCAGATTCAACCGGATTTATGAACTAGCCACTCATGTCATACGCGCTATCTAGATCTGATTTTCTGCAGCACCCAGTGCCTCAAACTATCATGTAGGTGTAATGATGTTGTAGCCATCATGGTCTAAGGAAGTCAGGGTTTACAGTGAGAAATAACATCTTTACTGAATGCGTAACGAACAAAGCTTTACACAGACAAGCCTTTCTCCACAGGAATGGCATGCATCACCAGCTGGCCCAGTAAGAGATGCTACCTCTCCCTGCAAAACTTGCCCTATAAACCCATCAACAGTTGACGAAAACTGCACGTCCTTGGTACCTCTGATGATCACTGTCACACTGTTAATTACACCAGTAGTGACTCAATTTATTCATCTGTGGCTTTTCTGAAACATGCATCGCAACTATTTTTTAGTGGTTCAAAAGCATATGGTAAAGTTAATAGGCAAGTTTAATCTTTCCATTAATGTTTCAACACAAACAGAGCTGTGACACAAAGTGATAAAAGTTATCTCCACCACGTTATTTTTCTTGTTAACTGGCTATTATATTCAACATTTCTCCCTCACTGTGTGTCCTGAAATCCTTAAGGCTCAGAACAGTGTGTTCTAGGAAACTGAATGAGAAAAGTATCTACAGAAAGTCAGCAAATTGGCTCCAGAACTGCTAGCCAAATAGAAGCAGATAAGACAAAAGATTAAGAAGGAAAACAGGAGAATAAAAAAGCCGGTTTTTATAGTTTAGGCACACTGTATGTGCCAATGAGACTTTCTAATTATAGTGAAGGAATATTTTATCTGAAAGCAGCATCACTTTTTATAAAGTGGGTTTTTTAATGCTTCATACCAATCCATAGAATGTCTAAAATACACATTTATATTCTACTAATCTGACTGAGACTCAAGCACTTCCTAAGCTTTAAAGAGAAGCTTATCAGATATGTCTTCTGAATTGAAAAATATTGTGTAATTATGCTTGCATGAATTGTTGATTGGACATACAGTTTGACATCATAGCAGTCAAAGTTTTTCTTTCTATTACTAAATAGCCAATGGACTTTCACTACTATTGCTATACTTGCAAAAACCCATTGCAAAAAGAGGTGAAGTGTATGTGTTCAGCCAAAGGAAATAACATTACAACTAAATCCAGTACCTCGATCAATCTTCCTGGTGCTTGCAGTGCAATTATGTCAGTGCAGGTCAGGGAAGTAGCTATCTACCCAGATAGTTTATTCATCATGGCTACCACTTCCCTGGGGAATGTGAGCACAAAAATAGCCACAAAACCAACACTGTGAATAATAAACACTAATAACTTATCTAATTGACCAGTAAATTATTTGTAATAAAAAAAAAAAAACAACAACCTGAGACTTTTCTCTTTCACTTTAAATGGTGACAACTTTCACTCACCTTCAGTATTGATTCAGAGCAGATAGTGAGAATTTGGTGAAAAACCTTGTTGTAAACAAGAGCATTGATGCTTTTCTCATGTGTCTGTGGCACCTGTCTCGTATCTTGTATCATATGAGTTAGGGGATAAATATCAATGACAACTGAACCTGCACAGGGTCAGAGGAGTGAGAATATATATATTTTGTGTATAGTACCAGTTACATTTTCTGGATATAAAAGGATTTTATGTAAACCATAGGGTCCATTTGCGTTCTTCTAAAGAGGATAAGGAATATTGTTTGTTTCCTGAGAATACCTGTTCTCTAAACCAGAAAACATTCACACATGCACTCATGCCACACAATGGCTAAGTATCTACCTGCCTTAGACAACCACCTGCCCACCTTTGATGTGACTGATACTCTGTGTCCAAATCATTAGGAGCCACAAATCCCCCAGTCCCAGAATGGGTTGGCATGGAATGGAATGAACCCAAATAAGTAAAACTGTAATTGGCAGATATATTGCTAAAATAAATTCTGGTATCTACTTTCTTAGAGATAAATCAATTCTATCTGCAGGCAATGCTGGTGTCTTTCTAGTACCTTCCTTTATACAGCACTGTAGGTCTGAATGGTGTTTTCCAGACACCTTCTAGTGCTCTCAGATCAGAAGTGTTGCAAAGACAGAGAAGCAGATGGGGATGAGCAGACAAAAGAAAGGACAAGTTTTTTACAAGATAGGCTCACAAGTCAGACTACACATGCAGTCTCCTAGTGCAGTTCCAGTGTTACCGTGGTTCTACCAGCAGAGGAGCAGCAGTCAGCAGGGAGTATGTAGCAAAGGACAAAATTGCCTAATACCTGGCTTTAGTCCAGGCACAGCGGCCAGCAGCTTGGAAAAACACACAGAAGGAATGCTATGGCAATACTCAAATGAAGCATGAAGGTGAGCTGTGATTTATGGATGTTAGTGAACTAATAACTGAAAATCTCCTCTGTAAAGCCAGGAATATAGCAATGAGAATTAATTTGCCCACATACAGCCTCAGTCTCTTGCCCTCTTCAGGGCCAAGGAGACATTCACTTAACCTTTTAATGGAATCATTACAGAGTACAGGACCAGATTTTTACAGATATTTAGACACTGCTCCAATCATTGTTTATAAGGGCAAAGTTACCTCATTGTCAAGGATTTATCCATGTAAAATCTCTACATTAGCAAGCCTTGAAAATCTCACTAACTTAAATTTGAACTGAAGGTCATATCTGTATCCTTTAGTGATTAAATATCTTTAAAAGCTAGACTGATTAATACTCTGGGCATTTTTAAAATAAGACCTAGAAGCTGAGTGCTTACCAAATGCCTAAGTACACACAACAATCTGTGGACTCTAGTCCAATGAATTTATCAAGGCTTCTAAAACAAGTTTATTGGCACAAAGATTCAGCAGAAACTATCAGGTCACTGAAAACAAAATGTTTCACATTCATTTTCTCAGATTTTATAAGCTTTGTAAGCTTTGTGCCTTATTCCTAACCCAAGGACAGAAAAAGCTCTCTCCAAAGACAATGACCTTATCTGCCTGGTATGTCTCAGGTCTCTATAGCCCCAGAACAGGTTCAAAGGTTTTTCTTTTTCAGTGACTACGTCTCTGGGACAGACAAACCCCTGCTGGTTTCCAGAGTCTCTGCCTTAGATACAGAAGGCTAACATCCTTAGTGACATATGCTAAGCTCTGGTACCTCAGAGGTTCCAGGCTCCGTGATACACAGTAAGGAAACAGAGCCCAGAAACCTCAGGATGAGTTCCCACAATATTTTATACCTGATCAATCAGAGAGTATGTCTGTTGACACCACAGATTGTGGGGCTCTCTGTAGCTACTGAGTTAAATAAGGAGTTTGAATACACTTGTGAGGGCTCCACAGAGACTATTCTCTGCTGCACTCTCCATGTGGGAGGAGGATGCTAGAGGAATAGTTAGAGGAAGATCAGCAGTTTAACAGTTTTCAAGAAATGATAAGGCTACAGAAAAATATCTGTAGTTTAGCTTTTCTAAGGAAAGCTCACCTTGCCTTCAGAGAAGCCTTTCTCATTTCCTCTGGGTCTTGCTGTTAATTCTGATGCTGCATATTTTCATGCATATTTCTATATTGAAATTTTTCCCTGGTGCAACTTGAGGCCATTACCTCTTGCCTTATCTCTTGTTACTTAAAGAGACTCATCCCCATCTCTCTGCACCCTCCTTTCAGGTAGCTGTAGAGGGCGATGAGGTCTCCCCTCAGCCTCCTCTTCTCCAGACTAAACACCCCCAGTTCCCTCAGCCGCTCCCCGTACGACCTGTGCTCCAGACCCTGCACCAGCTGCGTTGCCCTTCTCTGGACACGCTCGAGTCATTCAATGTCCTTTTTGTAGTGAGGGGCCCAAAACTGAACACAGGAATCGAGGGGCGGCCTCACCAGTGCCGAGTACAGGGGTAAGATCCCTTCCCTGTCCCTGCTGGCCACGCTATTGCTGACACAAGCCAGGATGCCATTGGCCTTCTTGGCCCCCTGTGCACACTGCTGGCTCCTGTTCAGCCGGTTGTCAATCACACCCCCAGGTCCCTCTCTGACTGGCAGCTCTCCAGCCATTCCTGCCTAAACTTCATGTAATCATAAAGGAAATCACATTCTAGGAGAAGGAGCATGTTATCACACATCAACTGCAGTAACATACCGGTGATAAGCGTGCCATGATCATTGTCAAATACCATGGCAAAGTTCTCCATTTCTCCAGGACTCCCTTGATTATCATGGAAGACCTGCAGCAGTGAAAGGGTCTGTATATCCCACACTCTAAAAATCTGGAGGGAGAGAGACAGGAGAAAATCTATTACTTTATCATGATTGGATTTTCAACTACTTTTTGTTTCTGTGAGAGTAATACTATAGCTTCCAATGAAAATCACATTGTTAAGTGTGGTACATTCCAAAATAAGCAAGATAAATATCAAACTCATTTTTATCTCTTTTACCAAGGATAACAGATCAGAAAGGCTGAGTTCTGCAGTCTTGACCTGAGAAGTCCACAGCAGAACCAGATCTCCTGAGAACTGGTTCGAATTCATAATGACAGGATGACTCCACTGCATCATACTTTTCAGTCACATATAGATAAATGCTAATAGTTTAAAAGCTTGTATTTGAACTGGACTGTCAAATGGTGTGGAACAGTACAAAGATAAAGTTCAGAGTGTTCCACATAAAGGAATTCCTGAAATCTTTGATTAACAGCAGATGTTGGAGCAAATCAGGATCAGGATACACTGCAGAAGGATCATTTTTATGCTTGTGCTCTCCATAAGCAAATGCTATCAATCACAGTCAGGGTACTATCCTGTAAGAAGCACTAGATAGATGTTATTTGTTCTTACTATCACTTTCAATGAAAAACACAGCACTTGCTTTAAACTCCAGAATTACTCATCAATAATTATGTTAGCAGCACTTATCCTGCCTAATTAAAAGCTGTGTTGAACTTACTGCTATCGCATGCACACTGCTCTTAATCCTGCAAGAAATCATTATTTAATTTCTCAGGTTCCATGGTTTTTATTGTGGTTTATTTCCCTGCAAGATAATCTTACTACGCTCTCAAAAATTATTCTGTCATCACATCTGCCTGCAATTCTTATTCAGCTGCGAAAACAGTGCTGAGTTTTATATAGACATTTGTGCAAGTTATTTGTATTCTTTCAATTGCGTTATTAAAAGGTGTGGCTGCGTTTTTACTTGGGATTTTAACACAGACACATGTTGGTACATGCTTCCATCAATACTGGGATTGTTGTGGGCATTCTCAAAAGTCGTTGAGTCTTTGGATGAAATGTTCCATATAATGTAAGTCCATAAAACACATCAGGACAAACCCATGAAATATTCAACTGGATTTGATAACTGAGCTGTGTCTCAGACAGAAATTTCTCATGAATAAATCTGCTTCCTGTGCTATAGTCCCTGGAGGTCTTCCTCTCTCAGCTGTTCCTTATTCTTAACTTTGTCACTCAGTTGAGATTTCAGGGCTTTTCTTAGGTGATCTTGATGAACTTCATCAAATTCTAATTTCATAGTCTTGGCCAGGGAGCATGAAGCAGCCAGCCTGCCTTGACAAGAGCTAGGCTGCTGTTTCTATAAAAAAAGCAATAATTCTGGGAGATCCGATGAAGGAAAAAAGCATCCTAGGAAAAATCCTAGGGAAATCTGCTGTCATTTCTTGGATTCATCCCAGGATTGTGATAAACATTATAGTAAAGGTAGGTCCAAGTCCAAATGTAAAATTCATTTTACACTTATAAACACAGAAAGTAAGTGGTTTGCTAAGTGACACACGGCAAATAATAGTCTGAAACATAATCCAAGTTTTGATTATTTCAGCTTTCCTCACCACAGACTATTCCCTTCTTCATTTTGAAATCTACTTATTTTACTGTTGAACAGAATGTGTGCCCATTATAATTCATAGACAGTATGTCATATCCTTAAAAATGTTTTTGATAATCAGGCAGACTTCACTTGTGCATATGTTCATGGTATGAAAAGCTGATTGCAATTGCCAGGAATTATTTCTTCCAAAGAGACACACTACACAACTGAGAATGAGTATTTGTTACTCTGGATGTTATAAAATGTTGAAGTATCTCTTTTTTTCACTTAAAAGAGGATCTTGGCATAAAAAACCCACTGTTGCCAAGAAAGCCCTCAAAACCAAATAGAAGTCTGTTCACTGTATGCAGAATAAAAATAAGGGTGACAGTAATAGGAAGAAATTAGTCAGGGAGATACACAGATTTTGAAATTTTTGGCATTTCCATCAGTAACCAGATTTTAAAGGAGTTACAATGGATCCAGCAAAATTCTGAAAAGGAAGGGAAGAAAAGAAACAGACACATCAATCAGTGTTTAAACAGATCACCTTTGGCACCAGAGAGAAGTTCATACATGAGTGTTTCAGAATTTTAAGTAGAAGAAAATTTCTCCTGACTATTTTGTTTGTTTTCAGGAAAACTCAAAAGGAAAAGGTTCTAAAAATCTTCCTACTGAGATTAAATTTTCTCTGAGACAGTACTAAGGCAGAATAACCATGTCCATCATATTCCTCTGATAGACTTCTGATTATTTTTTCAGGAATTTACTTAGAAATGTAAATTCTAAAGCATACAAAAAGAGAAATAGGCAGTGAGAAGGCTTGAAAAAGGAAATCTGGTTGAATAGAAAAAATGATGAAACTGTTGATCCATCTGACAGTAGACCAGCAAAAATAGAAAGAAGAATTGGTGATGAAAATTGAGAAAGTTAGGGCAATGGTGTAGGTAGATCCCCAAGCTCAGTTCTGGCACAGTCACAATTAGAGCATGTAAAAACAGCTGAAGATTAATCGGAAATAGGTATCTATGGAGATACTCTAGTCAGGTGAAAAGAATAAGTCACTGAGCAGATATAATGACCTTTCCGCAAACTTCACCCAGATCTGTTACAAAGTTAATGGAATTATACAAAAAGTCCCCAAAGACAGACAATTCTAATAAACTCATAGACTATTCAAGTTAAACTGGTCAACAATTGAAACAATTCTGATATTTTATCAATGAATAAGATGATTTTACAGCACAAGTGAATATAAGAGCCTCTTGCACTATTTCTTGCTGCTTGTTCAACTCTTGATGCCAGTAGCACATTAAGAAAATGATTTCACTTAAAGTGACAGCTAAAACCTGGACACATCACAGCATTCATAAATCTCTTCCCTTCCTCCCAGCCTTCTTCCTTTCCCAGCCCACGGGCAGGGATTGGGAGATTACATAAATCACTGTTCCACATGAGTAACTCCCACACAAGGCATCACCAGCATGGCCTCAAGATATGTCACTGCTGTTCATCTGCATCAGCACACACGACTGCATGAATTCATGCATGAAGAGTGGCAACAAACGACATGCTTATTTAGAAATTAGGAGGTGACTAGGGGGAGTTGCCTTAGGAATGTTTTGTTAATAGTAACTTTACTCTTCTATTTATTGAAGAACTTATTTATTGTAGAACTTCCCACAGCAGCCTGACAAATGCCAGGAATCCCTGAAGCCCTCTGAAAACTTGTTCTTTATGGCAAAATGCTTCTAGACTGTGTCTTCTGCAATCACAGAATACGGACTTTATACAAGCAAACAAAACATAATAGGGAGGAGGAGTGCGGAGATAAGGAGCTTCAAGTGCTTTTGGAAAGAACTTCTTTCCTTCTTCACACTGTTTCCACCATTCAGGAAAAGCTGTGATATGCTTACAGTATCTCTACAACACATATCTACAACACTGGCCTACATTAATGAAAAACCAGTTGGTTCAGTTTGGGTGCTAGCAAAATTGGCCTTGACCTACAGATATACCTTTTTTAAGTCAGCAGAGCAGGGATTCCTGCCTGTGTTCCCACATTGTGGCCAGCTTCTTTCACACAGTTGGTAACAGGCACAGAGTGGCCTTCGAAAAATGCATGCTGACTCTCTTTCCTGTCTCAGTTGTAACAGCTTCAGCAAACTACTCAGTTATCCTCTCCAGTACCGCAGTCTGGATCAATACCCTCTGTTCTGAGGTGCTCTTCTTGTGCCTTTCATTTTTCAACCCAATGGCAAAGACACATACTTACAGATGGAATTTCCACAGACACTAAACCAAATTGGGAACCAAATCCCTCCCAAATTCAGTGGGAGTTCTTGCCAAAGCCTTCTGAGATCCCTTAAAAAATTAAATGTGTATATTTACATGCATAAACACTTGTCTCTCAAGCAGCACCTTCCTTCAAGCCCTAAAACTCAGAACACAGAAAAAAGCTTGAACTATCTTTTCCATCTGGTTTAAAGCCTATTTTTTATGAGCATGTAGAAACAGTAGCACCCCTCTCTTCTATTTTTCTTAGTATGTACACAGAGACAGACAAAGAGCAAAAGATCCATTTTACCAAGTAAAATGGGAACAGCAGAGGGAAACAGAAGATGGGAAATAGGGCGAGACAAAATTGGTAAATAAATATTTCACATGCTCTCAGTACAATAAAGTTCAGGCTCAGGAACAGTTATCTCCTGCTGGGTTGTTATGAGGAGGCCACGGTGGAAACATGCTTTGAGTTTGGAAGAAGTGAATCCTCTTCTGCCCCTTTTCGTCTGTAATTAACTGAGATGAAAAGGACTAAGGAAGTCCAGGATTTGGTGACACCACCTACCCCTCCCCCCAGTCAAAAGATAATCCCTCAAATTACTGCTAGTTAAGAATAAGAAACTGACCTTAAAACACCGCTCTAACAAAAATAGCTCAGCAACACTCAAGAGAAAACAGTAACTTCCACTTAGTGCCACCAAACTCTTGCATCCTGGCAATAATTTTTGTAAGTTAAGGAAAATTTGTTTTTTTAAAAAGACAACTTTCCTTAGTTTTACAGAATGATGCTGCTGCAAGTCTTTAAAACAATTTAAGAAAAAAACATTTGTGCAGGAAAATCCAAAATCCAACCACTCTTGGAGCACAAAGTAGTTTCACTAGCTGCAGCATTTGCTGTAGGCACAGACAGAAAGAGTAAGCAAAAATTAAAGCTGATTTTCTGTTGAAGTGTTTAGTTTATCTGCCTCCATTTTCTACACTGTTCAACTGTTTCAGGGGTGAAGGCTCCATGGTCTAAGTGAAAAAATTTACAGATTCATACAGAGCATTTGAGCCCTCAAAGACAAAAATCACCAGGCATGAAGCAGAGGTCAAACTGCAGTTCTGCTTGCAGTGTTTAAATAGAGTAAGTCATCTGCAGAGAGTGGTGGTGTGTCTC